ATATGAATATATATATATATATATGTATATATGTATAAATATCTTTTATCATTTTCTCGTTTTTGCTTTGTCACTTGTTTGATGTATCCTGCATAGAAAAGATCTGTGAATCGACTTTAATACTGCGAGACACAATCAAAAAATTTGTACATAAAAGTGCCTTAACTAATCGTAGGTAGTAAGTTATATTAATATTTATATCTTTTTTCTATTCGAAATTTTTAACAGAATATTTAAGATACTAATATATAAGAGTTATTATTACATTTTTCTAAGCACTAAGTCGTGCTATCTGTTTTGCGATATTATGATCTATTCAAGAACGAAAGTAGTCATTATATTGTATATGACGTTGCAGCCATCAAATATTTTTTAATGTATTCCTTAAGAGAATATTTAACGGCGTGCTAAAAAATGTATACGTTTACGTGCCTTAACTATGCGAAATAAAACAATGCGATCAGATCTTTAATTCCCTTGTCATAATTTATTAGTTATCAAACGATTCTCTCCTCCTTTCCCAAGTACAGTATTATCCAATATTATTTACAAAAAATATGATTTGCTTAACAGAAACGATGAAATTGTTGCAAATATATATTAATTTATGCGATTATATTTATTATAAGATTTATATGCTTCGTAATATATACATATAATACGTGCTTATTAATTATATACATTTTTTCAAGAGCGATATCGATTATAATGAATATATATTTTTGTTGTAAATTTTATATTACTTACGAATGCGTTACAATACTCGACCGTTCTTTCGTTTCGAGTTAAATCAAAGTATTATGAAAAAGTCGAAAGTGTCATTTTAGGATTAAGATTTAATGTAAATTATACACGAAAATAGATGATATTTTCATCGTTACTAGCGCTATTGACATTCTTGTAAATATCAGTGCCTTAATTAAGCTTAAAATAAGTATTGTACGATCTTGTACTTGATATATCTTTTTATAATATTTAAAATACATTTTAAATAATTATGTATATCGTAGATTTAATTTAACAATCTATACATTTTATAATAATTATAATTATTTATAAAGATAATCGAACTATTGAAAAAATTTTAAAAAGGAGAACGAAAAAACCAAATTAAAACGTATTAAATATTTATACTTATTTCATTGTTGTTTAAACGCATGATTGTCCAGTTTTAGATTTTTTGTATCTTCATCTTTTTTCGAATTTGAAGTTTGTATGAAGAAAATGAGAGTAACTTACATTAAAATTTTAAATTATAAACAAGATTAACTGTAATTAAAACGCATCAATAATTTCGTTTTTTTGTCATGTGTCACGACTATGAAATTTTTTGTATTTCTTGTATTTTTAACGTTTACTTTATGATTAATAAGCTGATTTCCGATAAAAAGGTTGCATTTATCGCTGTGTCACGTTTAGGACAATAGTTTCACATTGACAAATATTAATGAGTTTGAAATTAAAAGCTCATCCGGTCTACGATTATTTTCCGTGATGTAAATGAACAAACAATGTGATATTGACGAGGTCACTGTATAATTAAAAAGTGAGTCCGAATATATTCTTGCGGACTATTAGCTATAAAATATCGATCATTACTGTGTGCATAAGTAGAAACGCGTTTGGTGAAAAAGTGAAATTGTAGTTAACGTTCCGTAACATTATGTTTAACGTTTAATAGCTTAATAGCAAATGAAATATTTTTATTAAGGTACAGTTACAAACTCTGGTTTTTTGAATTTTATTTCTTCTAATATCAACACCATAATTAGTGAGTAAAAAAAGTATTAAAAAAGTGAAGAATAACTGAATAAGTGAGGAATAACTGAGTAAATTATACATTGCTAGACAAATACTTTTTTAAATCGCAATGGATGCGGATCCAGTAACAACATCTTATTTATCGATCATAATTTATTCTTTACTGGGAACAATTATTACAGCATTAATTGCATTATATTATTACGTCGAAACTTTTCGAGCAGTTCGTCTTATAAAAAAATTACCAGGTATGTACATATTAACAATAAAAAATGTTTAATTTCTGGTTCGACTGTATGTTCGCATTTGTAATCTCTGTCAGAATTGATTTTTCTATATTGTCCTACAATAATTTTCTTTCTTTTAGGTCCATCATCCATACCTATTATGGGTCATTCATTACTAATTGTCAAAGAGTCTCCCGAATTTCTGTTCCAACTAGCTGTTAAATATTATAACTTGTATGGGAATGTAATCGGTGCATATTTAGGCACAAAAACAGTAGTTTTTTTGTCAGATCCACAAGATATTGAAATAATCCTTAGTAGTTCTGAACATATCGAGAAAGCTGAGGATTATAAGTAAGAAATCAAATTAACTAATAAAAATTTACTTATAAAAAATTTATGGATATACAGAGTGCATCAAAATTCGGACAAATCGAACAATTTCTTTAAACAAAATGTTTTTAACGAAAAATTAAATATTACAAAAAATTCTTTTACATGACACTTGGAGGATACATCCCTGTAGAGCACAATTATTCGATATATCCCCCATTAGCTTGAATGACGGCCTCTATTCTCGGTCTAAAGCATTCGCACGCACGTTGTAATGTAGCGCTGTCCATGCCGACAAATGTTGCCTCAATAGCGGTCCTTAATGATGTCACATTGGGATTTGTTTGGCTCTTTTAACTATGCTCCATACGTAGTAGTCCAAAGGATTTAAATCTGGGCTGTTGGGAGGCCAGAATGAGAGCCGAGACGAGCAACTCGGTGTCCTGGCAGCCTCAGAGAATATCTGTCGTATCTTTAATGTGTATGATTTGTACATGATGTATCAAAGGTCTTCCTCGACGATTCGATGCATTGTTGGCTCGCTTACATCAACAATCGATGCTAATTTTCGCAAAGATTGCCCTGAATTATCCGAAATCAGCGCTTGAGCCCTTTCAACGACTGCGGGGGTCTTCGCGGTGCGTTCTTTCGAGTGACTCTTTCTCGCTGGCACATTGGAACCTTCGTTGGACTGTCCTAAAGCCGTATATTTTGCCACAACGTCATAAACATTGATCTCGGATATCTAAAGAACCGAATTATTTCCGTCGTTGAGCGCCCAGCGCGAAGGCCTTCGATGATACCGCGATGATATCGCGGCTCTTCGATTATACTCCGCACTTGGTTTCAACATCGCGGCCATTTTGAAAATATGACTGTTTATTAGAAGCATCAGGCTTTCTCGGCAACAACAATCTCTGGCGGAAATAATATAGCGGAAAATTGAAATTTGTGGATTTTGACGTACCCTATATATATTTACACTGAGAAAAAAAACTGTTGATTCAATTAAAGTCTATATTACAGGCTGCACTAACATAACTGAATAATTCATATATATTTTTATTGACATAAAGGCATAAATTATTATTTCAATAATCAAGCCCTTTATGTCAATTAAAATATATATGAATTAATCACTTATGTTAATGACAGCCCGTAATATAGACTTTAATTGAATCAATAGCATTTTTTTTCTCAGTATATAATGTGTTTTATTCCTATATGTATGTTACAATTAAAGATACAAATTCTATTTTAAATGGTCTGTCATTTATTATAAGATACTGCTTATTACTATTACTATAATTAAATAATCCTTTATTTATCTTCATCTGTAGACTGTTTAAACCATGGCTTGGAGATGGTTTGCTGATCACATCGGGCGATAAATGGCGCAGACATAGAAAGGTGATTGCGCCTACATTTCATATGAATATCTTAAAGACATTTGTGCCTTTATTTTATGAAAACAGCGTAGATCTCGTGAATCGACTTCGCGATAAAATTGGAAAGGAATTCGATTGCCACGATTATCTATCAGCCGTAACGGTTGACATTTTAACAGAAACAGCAATGGGAGTTAAGAAAGAAAGAAGATCAAAAACCGGATATGAATATGCCATGGCCGTGATGAAGTATTTATTGTTGCTTCCTTAAAATTACACGTAATATTTTATTAAATATTTATCATATAGAAAATGCACTCATTATAATTTGAATATTGTAGAATGAGCGATATTTTACATCGAAGACATTTTGATGTATCATTACGGTTCGATATATTTTTCAAATTTTCGAAGTTTGCAAATCTCCAAAAGAAATTCCTTAAAACTATTCATACATTGACAGAACATGTAATCAAAGAAAAATCAAAAGATTTCGAAGAAAAATATGAAAAATGTCAACAATTAAAAGACGCACAAAACGATAAATCAATAGAAGATACGAAGGTAACCGAAAATGTAGAAAACGCTAAAATCAATGCCGCTAATTATATGCATTATGTAAGAGATGATCTTGATGACATCGATGAGAATGACGTAGGTGAGAAAAAGCGACTTGCTTTCCTAGAAATGATGTTAGAGTTAAAAAAGAATGGACAAATGACTGATGAAGAAATCTGGGAAGAAGTAAATACCATCATGTTTGAGGTATCACGATACTTTCAATTTTCTTTCGAGAGTAAATTTAGTTTTGTTATAAATCTTTGAACGTGAATTTTTATAATTTAAATTTTTCTTAGCTTCTACAAAATATCTTGTATATTGCATTGCTATAATAAATTGTAAGTTATCAATTTACTAAAAAAAAGTAATTATCGATGTGTTACAGGGTCATGATACTACGGCGGCTGGCTCGAGTTTTGCACTTTGTGTCTTAGGAAATCATCCAGATATTCAGGTACCTTCATTATTACTATTTTTAATTATTAACTGATAGTTTCTCATCGTTTGCATATTATATTTGTACTGAAAAATTGTTGTACACTGTTTTATTAAAATACGATTATTTCAAAGTATTTAAGAAAGCTATCAAATCTTTTCGATCTTCGGTCCTCTTGACACCATAGAATGCCATACTTGTTCCTGGGATAAATTTCTTGGGATCTTCAAGGTAGTCATTTAAGGTCTCCTCATTCCACACAATAGCTTTCTGCTTTATAGCGTCCGTGGATTTAAATCCCGAAATAGCTAGAAGAAAAATAAAACAGTTACATAATAAATTAAATTTCTATAATATATTATTATTTAACAGTGTTATATATTTACGCATGAATATTATTAAGTAATTATTAAAATATTTTTTTTTTAATTCTTTTTTATTAAAGTATTTTTTCAATCGAGATATTGTCTATAAAACATAAAATATTTATAATAAAACACATACTTCCACTAGTCTTGCCCACGATGCCATATAGGTTAGGACCTATTTTATGTTTTTCACCCTTTCCCGTGGTATGACATGAAATACACAACTTCATAAATAATTTCTTACCATTGACTGCATTGCCCATTTTAACAGATTATTTATTTGTCGATAACTAAATTTATATTTAAATTAAATTAAAATATATTAAATAATTCAAAAATTTTATTTTTCGCGATCTTCATTCCTTTCTGAGAACTAAACTAAAGATCGATATGTTGCTTGGTTTCGATAACAGTCATATAATAATTCATTCCATGCGAGCAGTTTACTCCCAAAAATTCGCTTAGAAAATGCATTAACCGACTAACACAACGTTTTAATTGCTGGAAATGATTTAATTCGACACCTCTATTCTAAGAAAAAATATTTCTATACACTTAATTTTTTTATGTGATCGTTGAATAGTTAATCATTTTTTGTTTTAAAAAAATAAACTAAACTTCGAATAAAAATTCCCAAAAAAATTCTGTAAGCTTGATTGAATCATAATAAACATTTTTTGTTTCTAGACTTTTTTGATAAAATCAATAATTTTTGAAATAAAAAATGTCTAAAAAATGTCTTGAAAAATAACTATCTTTATAATTTTTTTCTCACGAACTAATCACTCAATCAGTATAAATCAAAAACAAAAATATTTGGCCAATCTTAAACTATAACGAGAATTTTATTTTATTTTGATCTGTACCATTACTAACAATGTACCATTAACTAAACTTTATTAATAAAACTGCGTCTGCGACTCGTGTGCGGTCTTAACATCGAATCGTGAACTGATATTGCAGCTAGCCACAGCTTGTTTGAAAGTTGAAATATTTATTATATATCTACAATAGGATATAAACATTAATAAAACACCAATATTTTAAATATTTTTATTGCATTTTTATTCATTGAGATCATCTTTATTATTATTATCATCATCTTTATTTATGTATTTATTAGAACATCTACAAACTAAAGAACATTTCAAATCCGAAGCCAAACAAGAGCATGTTATAGCTGAATAATGAGATTTTCCGACACAGGAAGGCGCGCCGCGGACGTGCTTTCAGAACTATATTATAATAAAATTTTCACTATCAATAACAGTATAGAAAATAAAATAAAATCCTCTTTACAGTTTAAGATTGGCCGAATATTTTTTATTTTTTGTTCATACTGATTAGATGATTAGTTCGTAAGAAAAAAATTATAAAGATATATATCATTTTTCAAGCTTAGATATTTTTTATTTCAAAAACTACTGATTTTATCAAAAAAGTCTAAGAGATAAAAAATGTTCATTTTGATCCAATTAAGCTTCGAGAATTTTTATTAGATTTTTTTATAAATTATTCAACGAACACATAAAAAAATGAAGTGTATATTGATGTTTTTTATAGAATAATATGAGAAATCGAATTAAATCATTTCCAAGCAATAGAACGTTAGTTGGTTTATTGGTTAGTGAATTAAAAATGAGAGTAAACTGCTCGCTTATTCTCTATTTTGTTTTAATTCTATGATTTTCACTGTGCAGGCTCGCGTACACGAAGAATTAGACACAATTTTTGGTGACAGCAACAGACAATGCACTTTCCAAGATACCATAGAAATGAAATATCTCGAGAGAGTTATTATGGAAACTTTGAGACTTTTCCCACCGGTACCTATGATTGCCAGACGCCTTAATCAGGATGTAAAAATAGGTAAGCTATTTAGATTTAAATACATTATTAAAACAATAACAATTATTATAATATTAGAGGTGAGCGTGAGTTATAAGTTGCAGCGGAAAAAAAATTTTATAAAAAAGTATAGAAAAACTACATAGTAGATTGAGATAAGATCTTAGAAATTCTTAATTTTTAGTAGATATTCGTAATGGAACGTACTACGTAGACTGACGTTGTTTGGGCATAGAGGATTTATTAATTTTTCAAACAAACAACGTCCCACTACGAATATCTATGAAAAATTAAGAATTTCTTAGTCTCTCTATATAGAATATTTTGTCTCAATCTATGTAGCTTTTCGCAAAAATTTTTCCGCTAGAGGCATTTACTTTAAGAACTCATTTATAAATTGAAGAGAGATATACATTATAATTAATTTATTTTATAGTTACAGGAGATTATATTCTTCCAAAGTCTACTACAGTAGTGATTCTACAATATCAGATACATCGCTTAGAGAAATATTATTCAAATCCAACAGTTTTTAATCCAGACAACTTTTTACCGGAAAATATACAAAAAAGACACTATTATGCTTATATTCCTTTTAGTGCTGGGCCAAGGTGTTTAATATTTATTAATATTTTATAGTAATAATTTGTTTCTTTTTTTAGTAATCTTTTTTCTACATATAAATAATAAAATGAATAACTTGAATAACTTAACCGGACTCTCACTACTTAAAACAACAATAATGTCAATTTAAGGCTAATAAAAGTCAACGCAAGATGAGGTGCGTAATCTTAATGTGGAATGACTTAACTCCAATATCTCTGTGATGTTTTCTTTATTCACAATGAACGTTTCGACTCTCTTTTAAATCTTCCTCAGCATATAATCGCTTTCTTCATCAAATATCACGCAAATATAACTCGGTAGTCCGTCAAGGCAAGAGAGACCTAGAGAGTGTCTTGACGGACTACTGAGTTATATTTGAGTAATATTTGATGAAGAAAGCGATTATATACTGAGGAAGACTCAAAAAAGAGTCGAAACGTTCGTTGTGAATAAAGAAGAGATCACAGAGATAAATTGGAGCTAAGTCATCATTCCATATTAAAATTACGCATCTCATTCTTTTTCGATTCTTATTAGCTCTATTATTCTTTTTTCTGAAGCTTTTTTGAACTCATAGTTAGAAAATTACATTTAAGTTTAAATGTTTATTTTTGAAATATTGATATGTAAAAATATTTTGTCATATTCCTTAACAACAATATGTTTTTCAAAGGTCTTGTGTGGGACGGAAATTCGCTATGCTGAAATTAAAGGTTATGCTATCAACAATACTGAGAAATTACCGTATTATTTCTGAAATACCGGAGAAAGATTTCCTTCTACGAGGTGATATTATTTTAAAAAGGCATGATGGATTCAAGATTAAAATTGAGCCGCGCACACCAACATCTTGTAAAAAATAATCAGAAATTAACAACCCCATATCTGCATAAAGCTTAAGTCAAATATAAATAGATTGACGTTTGCCCTAGTAAGACAATTTATTATCTACTTATTAATCTCACTTGAGTAAGTATATTTCTCTAATAATTTGCTATTTATTTTTCTAATCAAATGTAAGACATTGATGGAAAAATCGATATTATATATATTATATTTAAAACTACAAATATTGTCAAGACATACTGTATTCTACAACTTATTTAAAAATAGATTTGCATTACCAATATTATAGAATTTATAATATTTTGTTAATTTTAAGAATTATAATTTAAGCTATAACTATTCATAAAATTAATAATTATTTTATTATACTTAATATAATTTTGAGCAAATAAAGCGCTATAAAAAAAAATCATGCAGTTCAATCTTACAATTCCAATAATATATATCTTGTACACATCTCATATATCTTGTTTCTTTCTAAAAATACTGTAAATTACCCTTACATTTTCCGCATAAAAATTTAAATCTAATTCGTTTAAAAAAATTTATTGTAAAAAAGAATTGAATTACAAAATATAAAAGTTTCTCTATATACAAATGACAAAAAGCTACATGTATAAGAATTAACATGCACCATGTACATCAAGATTAATTAAAAATACTAAATGTTTTAATGATGAAAAAGCGAAAATACTTGAGAAAAATGGATGAGTACAGGTAATTAATTCTTGAGATGTCCCACATCTCTTCATTCCCACTGATGATCCATAATGTTAACTTTCTGCGCTCGTTGCTTTCGCCATTTTCTAAAGTCTACGAAAATGAATTGCAAAATCCAAGGTAAAATAAATACACTATTCATTACTAGTAGGGAAATTTGATACATTTTGTAGCTACCAGTCCAATCCTTAATAATTCCTGCAATAAAACATACGTATAATATTATATTACAGATTAGATATTATATAACAGTCTTTCTCTTACCTACGATGGCACCAAAAATTATCGTAACTAAACTGCTGATAATGGAGTTGATACCGTAAGCCGAGGCAAATTTTTCTATGTTGAGATCTTCTATGATAACTAAAGGCTGCGGAACTAGTAGCCACGATCGCACGGCGCCAATTAATGCTATCGTAATTAACGCGCCTTTAAATGTATGTTCACATAGCAGAAAACCTATATATTGTGAGTTTTATATGTTATTTTAGAAACTAAAAATTGATCATAATTTATTTATTATAGGATTAAATAATTACCCATTCTTGCGAATCCCATTAAGATTGTAGCGGCAAAAAATATATACTTCGATTTTATATTTATTATCAGTGTAAAAACTGACAATAAAATTTTCGACGCCAGCTCAGCTATTCCACTAACTGTGACACTCAGTGCGGCATAAGTTTTTGAGTATCCCGCATCAGTCATCATAAGAGGAAGAAGAAAAGAAAAACCAAAGTCGGAAGGGCATACAAAATTGACGCCAAAGCATAAATTTATGAAACAGAAGTTCTTCACCAAGGACATGTCCACAAGTTCTCTCAAAATGGTTATATACCTTTCATATTGGCAAGATAAATCAAAGTGTACATTATAAAGATGGAATTATACATTATAATATCATGAAAAATAAATTACATTATGTACATATTATATATTCAATTATGCAAATAGTTGTTAGTAGTTGTATGTTTACCCTATCATTTTTTGTTCTTTCTCAATATTTTGCGCTTCTTCTTTCTCCTGGATTTCCTTATCTTGTTTCTCTTCCTCCTCCTGGATTTCCTTATCTTGTTTCTCTTCCTCCTCCTGGACTTCTTTATTTTGTTTCTCTTTCTTTTCTATGATTTCCTTATTTTGTTTCTTTTCCTTCCCCCGATTTTTTTTATCTGCCTGTCTTTCGCTGTACTTCTTTTCCAGATGAAATAATTGTATATCGCTCAATAAACAAGTTGTGCGATTCGCTAAATTAACTAAGTTAGGAGCCGAGATAGCTGATGTACGCCTCGATAAATTTTCCCATATAGATCCTGATTTTGCTCTTCCATGATTCTCAATTGCTGAGACTGACGCGACTCTTTGCGTAGAAGTCTTGTAAACAAAATTATATGGAATAATAATAAATAATAATAAAAAGGCAATAGGAGTCGTCGCTAGATATAATTGCGCAATGTGAAAAATTAAAATTATCTTACATACTATGTTACAATAATTTAAAAGGTTTGAACGTTTCTGCTCATGTTTGGGCCATTTTCAGCAGAAATGAAATATAATTCTATGATTACCTCTGTAAGCTGATTGTAGTAATCAAAAGCCTCAATCCATAATATTTTTATTGAACCGTATTAATGAGAATCAAAGGATAATCTGACTAACTCACCTCAATCGATGAAACCACGAACATATATAATTATAAATAATATTTGATTAACATCGTTTTTTTTATTTAGATATAAAACGACGTATATTACTTTTAATTACGGTTAACAACCAGTCTATGAACTGTAATGGTTAACAAATTTATCAAGGAAGATTCACTTCTTCACAGACGTAATCATGGAATTATATGATTTCTGTTAAAGATGCCCAAACATAGATAAAAACGTCCAAGTTTTTTAAATTATTGTAATATAGTATGTACATGAATTATTATATAAATATAAAAACGTCCAAGTTTTTTAAATTATTGTAATATAGTATGTACATGAATTATTATAACATAGAAAGGTAATTTTTGAGACTGCGCAATTATATCTAGCGATGACTCCTATTGCCTTTTTATTACTATTTATTATTATTCTAAATATAAGGGGCTCATTAATTTATTATTTTTTTATTGTAATTTATTAAAATTATATGGTTTTTTTTGTCATTTATGTTGAACATTTTTATTTAATATTTTTATTTAATTTTTATTTAATATTATTCAAATATTATTATATAAAAAAATTAAAATTTAACTGACAAAGTAAAATCGAGATTTTTAAAGTTTCATGTATTTTTGTCACCTTAACAGTTTCAATTAGCAACGGCATTTCTGAGCTTCTTCCTTCCTTGAGACTACAAAGACTGTTCCATTTAGTTTTAAGAGATAAGTGGACCGTGTCAATAGTTGAACGACGATTCGACAGTGCCAATTCCTGAGAAATATTTTGTCTCTTCTCGCGTGCTTTTTCCGCACGAACATCTTCCAGCTTCTTGGCATGCCATTCCACAGGATGCATCATTATCATTCCAACGACGCTATGAAGGCTTAGAGCGCCTATTATTGCCGCAGTACCTAACACAAATACCAAACAAAAATGAATTATAATAAATCTCGAGAACTTTCTCTTTGTGACACTTACCGCGAAAACCATAGATTGGCAGCATTTTTTCACATAATGTAGGAAAAATAATTCCGCCCAACCCAATGATGACTTGCGACGCGTACATTACCTAAAGAAAAGAACAAATTTTTTGATAAGTTAAAAGAATTCAATGTTTTTAAACACATTTAGTAATTAGCCATTAATTGATTTACTTTTGCTCTCTTCTTTACAAAGTACGAGTTGAAAACTGTGTTGGTAATTGTAAAAATTAGGCCCAATCCAAAGCCTTGAATAAGACAGATAAAAGCCATCTCGTATATGTTTCTGACGAAGGCTATTACGATATTAGGTAACGCAAAGAAGAGTGCACCTACGATTCCAACCGGCCTTGTAGAATATCTCTTCAACAATGTATTGGTAAGCAAGCCTGCAAAAATCATTTTTAATATTTAAGTAGAAAAAAAAATATAAAAAGCATAAATAAAAAAAATATTTAATCGATATGAATAAACTACTATCTAAAAAATATAACTTTTTACACACTAAAAATATTAAATAATGTTTATGATAAAAATGTTTGAATAATTTTTATGATAAGATTTATTATTTATTATCTATATCATATTTTACTAACTAGTAATTATACATTATGTTTAAGTTGCAAACATCTGCATTTTATAGAATATATTACTTTAGATATTATATTATCAAGATCTTCTTCTGCTTCTTACGTTAGATTTCTGACCTGTGTTTATGGCCTCTTTCATATGCTTGTGATGTGCACGCTAATTATTCAATTGCCACAAGCATATGGGATCTATAGTTTTAATGCCGGTTCCAAACAATAGATTTTTCAAGAAGTGTTTCTGTGAGCAAGAATACTCTCGGGATGTTGCCGACCTTTTCCGAGAGGAGACATAAGCGTAAATTTTTTTGTGCTCTTTATTATCAAGATATTTTATATTAATGATATAAATAAATTTTTAAATAAGGATTTTATTTAACTTATAATAAAATTTAGTATCTTGGGTCTCTATTCAATGTTAAGACCTCCATTGACAGTAAAAGTACATTTCTTCACTAAAAATAATGCTCTAAGTTGATAATTATGATATATTTAAAAAAATGCATGACAATAAAATAGAGCGTTTTTTCATAAACAAAAATTCGACTATATTTAAATACAAATGCTCCTCGTGATTTTCATATGTCGGAAATATACGCATTATATAATCGCTTACATGCCTTATTTCGATCAATGCACATGTCATTCGATTTAATTCTTCGTACGAAAGTGTTAGTTATAAAACTTGCAAGAAGCTGATGACTTAACAGACTTAACTGATTTAACTGATACCGATAAGAGCAGAAAAATTATGTTTATTTCAAAAGCCACTTAATTTTCTTATCGTAGAATTTCTTCTTCCGAGAAAAGTTTATCAAAGAAATGAATAATAAAAAGTATACATTTTTTTTGCAAATTCACTATTTACAAATCGTTTCTATTAAATTTATATAGAAGTTAATTAATAACTATGCAAATATAATTTACATTAATCTTTCCTTTAATTTTAATGATTAAACATGATACATGGACTTACTGGCAATAGAATAAGTAACCATAAAAACGGAATTAGAAAGGCTCGTTGCGAACCCCGCCTGTCCGGAATCTTCAAAAAAATCACCAAAGATTATAGTAAATGATGACATTGGAGCTATTGTAGTGAACTGGAACAGCGAAAAAATGAATGTTAATTTTTCATTACGTATCTATATGCAAAGTTCTTCAAATTCTTGTTGGGAAAAATTCTGAAATGATTTTTAAACAAATGTTATTTGAAGAGTGATGTATCTATTTCAATAGCTTAGTATGTATTGAACACATTACTACATGTCTACTATATATATTATTATTAAACTGACCATAATTAATATCATTGCTAGTGCAATCATCCATCCCCAACCACCGTCT